CAGAGCTTCTATGGCACACAGAATCTTATAATTATGTCCTGCAGAAGTAGAGGAAGAGTTGCAGTACAGCAAATACACTGGAACACAACAACAAGGTTACTATTTCTGACACACTATGTATTGCTATAAGAAACGGCCTCTGTTTGAAAAGCTTTACCCTCCCAGGTAACTGAGCTAACATCTCCTGCTAGTGTAACTGCACTTCAAAGAGAATAGCACCATGAGACCAGAGCTAGCGGGGAAAAATTTAGGATAACGCAAGTGTTAAACCCCAATTTTGATAATGCTTTGTGACAAATTTCAACCCATCCTTAGTAGTAGAGGTTTCAATTCATAATGGTGGTGCAGCTAACAGGAAGTTATCTGGATAGAGAGGGCATCAACCCCATGGCTCTCCTGCTACGGCAGACTCTTGGGGCTCATTTGCCCAGAGCACAACAGGGTGAAACTAGTAAAGCCTCTGAACAGTTTGCTCAGCCCTGAAAACAAAACTTCCTCTGCAGAAGGATTATGTGAACATGGATGTTTCCTGCTCGGACGGGACAACTGCACACATGTACTTCTGACCAAAGTGCATTGCAGGAAACTTCTAGTACAGAAGAAAACTCTTCTCCCCATCGATAAGGGTGCCAAGAACATTCCCTGATCCTGTACATTTGGCTGGCAGGGCTTACACCATCTACTCATTTCAATATATTTTTGTGAACTTATGACTACTTACTCATCCATTAAAAAACCAAAGCAATGTAAAACACCCAAAGCAGCAATCGAAAATTTCAAAGAATCTTGAAAGCAATGAGTGGCCTATTTCAGCTGTTTCATCAAGCCCATCCAAATTATGTTTTAACAGAACTAGAGAACGCAGATTTTTTTTTCTTTCTATTCACCTGCATCATGGCTGCTCATTCACCTTGTGCTGTTTTTGAAGATAAAGAGATCATTAAACAAGAGCAGCCTGTGTCTACCCTGACATTTCAAATGAATGGAAGTAACCTCACAAACATGCTTGCCGTGACAATGCCTTGACTGCAGCTCACACCCGAGCTAGTTTAAGATTAGCCAACTCAGATAATACTATCAGAGCAGCCATGGCAGTACCTAGCCCTACACATGCTAATCACCCACGCGCTTAACCTCCCAGGCCCACATGACTCGAACTAACCTTAGTAATAAGGCAGTAAGAAGGAAGATCGCTCATTCCTTTATTACATATGAGGAAACTGAGAGCTCTTAAGCTCTTCGTATCCATCCAAGTATTTAATAAGGATCTACAGTGACTGGGATTTCTAGGGAGGTTCAGAAAGAGCAGCCTTATCTGGAAAAAAAAAAACCAAAACACCAAACAAAAAACCAGCTGCCACCAGGAGTTCTTTGCGTCCCATCTTTCAGCACAGAGTAAGACAGTTGTCACTTCTTGTGGTGCTACTCACCCTTGTAGCAACGAGTTTCATCTGTTCTCACCTCCCCGTGCATCCGCTGGTCACAGGGACACAGCTCCCAGGGTGACTGCTCCTCCTCTTTGCCCTTCCCTACCCTTCTTTGAGAGAAAAGCCAAGATTAAATATAGTTTTGTATTCAGATTTTGAAAGTGGACCCATGTCCACTGTCCCCTCACTTTAACCTCATCTGCTCATCACTTCATAAATATCAATCTACGGATCTTTGAATATGTCGAGATTTATATCCGTGCCGTCCCATGAGATTTAATGCCTCCTGAATGTTCATTCATCCTTACGCATCCCCTGGGGACAAAATCAGAGTCAGAGCACTATGAGAAGACTGACAGACGACCATTTTACAAAATTATTTTCAAGAGGAAAATGTCTGCAAAACATCTTGCAGACTTAAAAAAAAAAACTCACCAGTTCATGTTTCCTACAGTTCTGACAGGTTAGCCAAAGGTATTTTTATATATATATACACACACATTGCATATTTATGTATAATATTTTCATATTATGTTTTTCATATTAAATATTTTAATTGTTTTGATAAATATTTCTACATATAATTAGTTATTAATATCTTTAAAATTACATATATTATTTAAAGGCCATAGTTCAAAAAGCCAACCA